GCCGGTTGTGTTCTTTTAAGATATTTGAGTTTTAAATGTGTTTTTATTAATAGTTTTACTAGTTAATTTTATTTAAAAATATTATTATTCAAAAATAGGTTTAATTAAGGACATTTTAACGGATTTAAGTCTCAAATTTATAACAGATAAAAAGAAGCAGAAATTTGATACAAATCAGACAGAAAAGAGGTCTTTGCTTCTCGTGGTGACATGTCATTTGTCAACTTTATAATCGGTAAACACAAAAATTGTATACATAGCATGATTTGTACCGAAATATTATCGTTTTCGAGCTTGTTGGAACAAACATATAAACAACATAATCATATGTGTATTGTCAATTATCCTTATCCGTTGTCTATTAAAAACAAAGGCCAAATACGCTATTGATTTATTTTATAGAAAAGAAGAAATTTAATATTTAATTTAAAAGTTGAATCTGTCAATTATTAAGCATAAATATTAATGATAATACTAATCATAAATCGAGTATAAATGTCCCCATTAAATGTGAAGGTTCAACTTAATGCTTAATCATAATACTAATGCAAATACTAATAATAAGGGAGTATAAATAGACCCTAACTATAAAAATACATTACGGAAGACAAGTAGAAATGAAAAAGAAGATTTTAAATTATAATTCATACTCAAGCACAGACATGACCTAAAGACCTGACTTGGATATAAGTACAGTGTCGCCATCTACATTCTATATCCATCGTCCTCCAATGATATCTCCATAAGGTTACAATACTATATTATCTTCATACAACGCCCATATGTAAACAAATAATTTACAGAACCTTTTAGAATCTTTACGTTAAGAGCGATATCCATGGTTAGAAACTGGCTTAAAAGGACTTCAAGGTTCTCTTTCTCAGTATTAAATATTTTTTTATAAACTTTGGTATACCTACTAAGCAAATGATAGAGAACCCCGCTGTAGAGCCCGAATTTAGAAAAACTTATTTTTTAATTATTTCTATACAAATTATGAAAATTATTGCAAAATGGAGTCTTTACCGGGAATTGTTGTATAAAAATCAGCTAATTCATTCCAATACACTTTTTTGTCCAAAGCGTATATTTTTTGAAAACCTTGAATTACGAAATCTGAGAAAATCTGTCAAGATTCAAATACATATTAATTGATTTGGCAACAAGGCAGCGGACGTTGGCGGTGCATGCAGTACCGGAAAATTAGGATAAAAGTATTTAGGTAGTCATTTAAGTCGCTTAGGATGAAATTATTTAAAAACTTTATTCTTTTTAGTTCAAGTGTAGGTGTTTTCTTTTCGTATTTAGTTAATGTGTTTATATGAACTTCTGTGTGTAAGCTGAGTTATAATAGTTTGTCGTAAAAATGGGAAAACTTTCGGAAATGCCGAAAATGATATTTCCATTTCGACGGAAATCTATCAAATATTGTGCAAGTATACTTAGAAAAAGACACACACTATCACCTCTTATTCTAGTCCAGTTCCTGCCCTTCTAAGCATAAAAGTCAAAATATATGGGAAATTTATACTAAGTATGGAATAGAACAAGAACCTTTTTTTTTTAAGCAATATTCACAAATTTAAAGCGGATGTCCAATAAATGTGGTTTATTTGCGGATTCCTAATTTGGTTTTTTAGTTCCCGACGGTTTATTAGGAACCGACAGTATTATCGAAATTAAATATCCTGCTTCAAAAATGACTACGGAAAAAGTAATGGTTTGCAACATAATAAAATTTACAATTATTAATGATAATGGCAAAATTCAATTAAACCGAAATCATAATTGTTAATATTACCAGGTTCAGGGGCAAACTTTACGTAACTAATCGAAATATTTGTTTCTTTATTATTTTGATACCTTTAGGTATGTTAGTAGAAAAAATAAAAAAAGATGGTAGATTTTGGTGTATATGGAAAGCAAACTAAAGCAATTTTATTTAGATTGTATACTATCCGAGATCTTAGATCCACGTTTCACTAGAGGTTTATGTATTAGAAATCCCAGTAGAAAACCGAGTAGAAAACCGAGTAGAAATCCGAGTAGAAAACCGAGTAGAAATCCGACCAATATTTCTTCTTTTACTAATAATAAATCATCTTACTCAATGTTATTTTTATTTATTTTTAGTACTAGAAAATAATTTTTTCTACAACTAAATGAATATTAGTTTACCTACGTACAGACTACAAAACGAAAAAATATGCTATTGAGTAAAATGAGTTATACTTGTGTAGAATCTATAAATAATAGCATTTCTATTTTTATTTGATTTATATTTAGAAATAAATAATTATAAATTTTAATAAAACTATATGAAATCCATTTAATTTATATTCACTTTTGTTACACAAACTACTATTTTCTACACCCACATGGATATGATTTTTTCTATACCCACAAGGATATTAGCTAATCTTCGCACATACTACAAAACAAAAAAGTATTCCATTGCGTTCAACTAAACGAATATATTTCATATCCATTCTACTTAGTAAGAACACTGTAAAACAGTTAAATCCACCAATCAGTTTATATTTTGGTCACCCGGCTACTATTATTTTTTAAATTTTATGTAAGTAACAATTCTGTCAAACTAAGTGTCAGTATATTTTTGAATTATTGAGATTAAATATACGTAAAAATGAATATTTCTTATGTATAATCGATAAGTAATAGCATTTCTATTTTTATTTCGTCCAAATTTAAAAACAAATCTTAAATTTTAATCAAACCATATGAAACTAATTTAATTACAAGTATTAGAACTAAAATGCTGGCGAATGGACTTAGTATCCGTAGCCAAGGAAAACCTAAATTTAATCACACACAGAACTAAAATGGCAAGTGTGGCGATGGCGTGAGGACACGAAGTTTGTCTCCAAGCGAGAGGCCCGAGTTTAAATCAAGGCTGGGAACTAATTAAATTAAATCTTTTTGTATGTTTATTTTATTTTATAAATTAGTAAAAGTCATACATTATTTTAAAATTATTTATTTTGTCTTAATAAAATACTTTTTTAAATTTGTAGAATTTCATTAATGTGTCGTAGAAAAAACATACTGTACAACTCGAGTGGATTGTCCGTATCGCACTCGATGATTAAGCACTCCGTCTACGGAGTCGTTTTCAAACTTCGTCTTTGTGCGATATGGCCATCATATCCAATTTTGTTGCACAAACTACTATTCACGCACAGACTACAAAACGAAAAAATATACTATTGCGTTCAACTCAACGAATATATTTCATATCCATTCTAGGTAGTGAGAACACTACAAAAAAAAAATGAAATCCACCAATCACAGTTTATATATTGGACACCCAACTACTATTATTTTTTAAATTTTAAATAAGTGACAATTCTGTCAAACTAATTGTCAGTATATTTTTTAGGTATTGAGATTAAATATACATTAAAATGAGTTATTTTTGTGTAGAATCCATAAATAATTTTAATTTATTTTTATTTGGACTACATTTTAAAAAATTTTAAATTTGAATCAAACTACCTATATGAAACTAATTTAATTACTACTATTAGAACTAAAATTTTAAATGTGGAGGTGAAAATGAGGATACGGCATCTGCCTTTCACGCGAGAGGCCCGAGTTCAAATCTGGGCTGGGGACTAATAAAATTAAATATTTTTTCATGTTTATTTTATTTCACAAATTAGTAAAGTCATAAATTATTTTAAAATTCGTTATTGGGTCGTAGAAAAAACATACTGTACAACTCCAGTGGATTGTTCACGGTTGTTGCACAAACTAGTATTAAATGAATTGTTATTTAAAAAACGTATTTTTATACAGGGTATTTGTAAATAAGTAAGAAAGATTTTTGAAAATTGTTATCAAAATTATTTTGTTCAAAAAAGTTCCTATAAAAGTAGGTCAAAATGTGCTTCGTTTTCGGGATACAGAATGTTTAAATTTTAATTTACTAAACTTTATTAAATATTTCAAATAGTTTTAAAGATATTTACTCTAAATTTCCAAAAAAACTTTGAAGGGACAAATGTGTATTTTTGGGGTGTTCCAAATATTTCTACTTGCACCAGTGGCGTATGTACGAGAATGCCATTTTTCGAAATAATCATAGGATATACATATGTATATTTAAAAATATATTTCGTAAATAAATTATTTAGTTAGAAAAAAGAGTTTCGAAAATGTTACACCAGGTTATATCTTTAAAAATATTTTAAACGAGAAAACAAAACAAAAATACTCTTTGTTAGACCGGACCTGCGATTTATCGGCCTTTTTTATATTTTAAATCATCTGTAGTTTATAAGTAATAAATTGAAGGGAGCGTACCTAAGTCTGGGAATAGAGCAACGTTGCCAAAGTGCGTTCAGATGCACTGAAAGTTGTCAGTCTGTTCTAAACCTGAATTTGCTGTTAGGTGTCGCATGGATATCGCTCTTAAGAGCAAAAAGAACACCTTAAACATTTCAAATTCCTTCTGAGCCTTTATTTTTAGTCCGATTTTTGTAAACATTTCAGGAAATACCAATAATAACAAAACTTAGGGTGAAAAAATATTGATTTGTTTGTAAACCTTTAAAACGTGAGATAATTTTTAAAAGAAATAAAAAAAAATATTTACGCTCCAATATTTAGTAGTTTTTGAATGGGAGGGCTTCCCACCTTTTTTTCTTAAAATTTTTTTCTGTAGAGTGCTGCCTTATCGTTGCACAAATTTAAAGCTTTCAATATTCTCGAGAAACATAACATCGCGAAGTATTCCCAGTGGCACACATATAAATACAATTTTATATTAGAAAATCATTAAAACATTTGCTTTAGCGAGAGGTCCGGTTTGGTCCTAATTTAAAATTTTTACAGCCAGAAATATTAAAAAAGTAGCTTATTGAACAACACCAGAATAAAATTGCAATAAATTTACTGCTAAAATATTGTTGTATTGTATTTTTTATTTGAGAATTTGTCGAAAAAAAAATTTATTACTTTGTATTTTTCGTTTTTAGTGTGATGGAAACTTGCTAAAAACTATTATAGAATTTCTAAGAAATAAGTATTTAGACGAAATCAAGAAATGTTGCAAAATGATGTGGATGTTTGTGAACCAACTTGAACTAACTGATGAAGATCAAACAAAATTAAGTTGTTTGGTAAGTTTAGTAAACTTTTAATAAAGACGGAGAGCTTGTTTGTTATTAATCAATTTCACCATGTTTTAAATTACGTGTTTTTTAAAACTTTTTTCCAAAATTATTCCAAGTTGTTTAATATAATTATTGTTATATCATAGTAGGGATTTTGACTCGGGGGTTTTGTATAGTAAAATTTATGGAAATCCGAAGATTTAATACTTTTTGGATCAAATATTAAAAAAAAGAATGAATGAATACAAAAGGTAATGAAAATAGATTCATTACAATTGATAGCAAATTAATAGAAGAAGTAAATAAAAAATATCACAATTAAAACCAAACACACAAACCTCTACGAATAGAGATTCGGTGTTAGATAATTTAAAAAATTATCGTGTAGGATTATTATTATTTAGTCATAGCAAAAGTTTTACGCAATCTATAAGTTGCTAAATGGAAGTAATCAACTTTTAAATCCGCTGTATTTATTTTCGTTAGTAAAACCAAATTTATGATAAATGTGATTAACTCTTAGATTAAAGAGATCAAAGATGGGAACTGGGAGGAGACCCGTACTCTGTGGAAGGGACGGCCTTGGTTTATTAGCATCATATTGAACTATTAGATTTACAAATGTTTAATGAAAAGCTGTATTATTAAATAAAATTAACGTGATTTAACAGATGTAACGACATTTTATGTAGAGAAAAGACAAGTTATTTTATAAAATATTTTGTTAGCGTTTATTTACTACTAACTTTTCTGCAAGACACTCCAATAAAATGCAGGCAAATGCTGTAAATCAAACCCTCAGGAAATGAGCATTACTTGTGAGTCAAACACTATGTTTTTTCTACGGCTTTGACTGTTTTTTCTACGGCTATTGCATAAAATTATTGTATTGTAAAAAGGTAGATATATTAAAACTCTTTGCTTTAAAAATATTAAATATATAGGATGTGTCACATAAAACTCTAGAAATGCAGATTTCTGAAACCAGATTACATTTTTAAATTTAAATTATAAAATCATTCGGTCACTAGAGGTAGGTGATTATCGAAATAAATTTTGAATTTATTTAAAATAATTGAATATTTTCGATCAATTGATTATTTTAAAATTATCGATTTTCTTTTCGTATTTCCTTTAAAATCGATTATTCGATTTTATTTGAAAAATCTAAAATAATCGATTAATCGAAAAGAATGGATTAATTAAAAAAACCGATAAATCAATTTTTCTAAAAAATATTACCGAAATATTAATTATTTTCAAATAATCGATTTTCTTTTCGTATTTCTTTTAAAATGAATTATTCGCTTAACTTTGAAAAATAAAAAATAATCCATTAATCAAAAAACTGATTAATTGACAAATTAATGGCCGTGTTCATCGTCGTCAAACATGTTGTAATGCTGAGTAAGCGGTCACGATGAACTGTCAACCGCTGCAGCGCTTTTGGATAATCATTAAAGCGCAAATAAAGTTTGCTCTTATGCTTTAAAAGCATAAAATTGACCTTGAACCCCTCTCAAATCTGTATTTAGGCATTTTCTTTGGTTATTATTTATTTATATTTTTAATCATTATTTAGGATTTTACTGTAATAGAGTCGGTTCGTTAAGTTGTAGTTTAATATAACATACCTATTATTTATTGAGTATGATGGTACCTGTTTGAAGAAAATAAAATTAATTCAAGACGTAGATACCTACACGTACCCTTAAATTATTTCATTTGGGCGTTAATATGAAACCACCAGTAAGGAATTTGGATAAAATATAACATAAATATATAGTTTTAACACAGTTATTATTCAAAGCAGATGAGAGTTCTGTTCCATGTACCTATCGATGTTTTTGTCATGTAATACAATATAGGGTATTTAAAAATAAATAAAATATTAAAAGTATGAAATTTTATTTTCTAAATTATTACCCACATTCAATTAAAATATGTTTGAATATGAAAATCATATGTATATTATATTAACAAATTAAATTAAATATAAGTAATTATATTAAAAAGAGCCCTTCTTGGTTTATTCAACCCTTAGAAAAAAAAAAATGCTTACCTCTTTACTGTATATACATTTCAAATAATGTTTGCTAAGTTAAATAAGTCGATCTATATGACAATATTAAATTTGTATATGTATTTATTTAACTCTACAAATCAATTCAACTAAAAACCTATTAAAACATAATAAAGAAAACAATACACATAACCTTCTGTGTACCAATCAAATATCATTCAATCTTTTTGACAGGTTTGAGGTTGAGAAAACAAATCGTAAACAAAAATGATCGTTCAGCGTCATATCAACCGCTTACGAAACGTGTTTCTCTGATTTTAAAACATGTTTGACGACAATGAATACGGCCAATTTTTCCAAAAACTAACGAATAGTCAATTAATTGTTTATTTTTGCAACCTCTATCGGTCGTTTACAAACATTTATCTCCAAAATTCGGGGATTCGGATTTTATGATCCCGTTATCTTTAAAACAGCAATCGATTGTATAATAAATATTGCAAGAATATAGTTCTTTGGGAAACAAATTGGTTAGGGTTTTATAATGTAACATTTTATTAACAATATGAATAACTCCCATAACGTTAGTATTTTTACGCACCAAAAAGGGCTAAAAACTACCTTTAGTAAACATTCTTATAAAACTGCTTTTCAAAAACAAAATTTCGTTAGCAACAATGCATATTTACTTCTTATTCACTTAAGATTAAATTAAAGGTTAAACATTTTAGCCTTTGGTAAATTTAGGTCCTTTCGTAAATTTATGTTAGTACTATGAAATCTGTTTTCTAAAATATTTGATGGTTATTATTTAGAGAAATACCTTATTGAGGAACTGAAGTATTCAACCTAAAGAATGATGGTGACTTTATGTCAAAATTTCGGGCATCAATAGAAAACCAATTAAAATCGTTCATTTTCAGTCACGTGTATCAGCATATCCAATCAGCTCTGACTTACATTGATACCTAGGGGTGTTATCACTTAAGTCAAGTTTGCACCAAACAAACCATTATGTATGCAGTATGCACTATTACGTCTATTTTTATAGATGCAAATGGAGGTATTTAAGACCTAATTTTGATACTGAAGGATTGGGCACTAAATATGAGAAAAAAAGGTGATACCGACCGAATCTACAGTCAACACTTTTTGGAATGAAGAGTCAAGATTTTAAGGACTATTACTTTTTATTAAATAAATGAGTTAAAATATGCCAACAATTTTTTGACCGAATACCTCTCGGCCAGTGATAAATACTTATAATTTTTTATCAAATACTTCAAGCAAGTTTCTTAAGGTAACTTACCAAGCAACGTGCTTTCGGTAAGTGAAAAAAAAATTTCGAATTATGCTGTCCTTGGGATATTACTACTGAAAACATTAATAAATATTTGCTGGTGAAAAAGAATATACTTTTTTATCTTTCATAACATTGAGACGTATTATAAGTATAACAGTGGCGTGCGGTGACATTTTTGAAAGGGGAAGTGATTGTTTAAAAATACAACAGCACCGCAGGCGAAAATTTTTGGCGGCTCATTCACCATTTTTCCTCAGTACTAAGGATAGTCGAGATTAAGATTTTTGAAGTGTTACTATTACTTTATTACCTAGTTTAGTACTAGAAGCTATACAAAAATTTACCATCGAAAAGCTTTCTTGGTTTATTTAAACTTAAAAAAAAACATTTAACTGACGTTTTTTTTATTTTCTCCAGAATTTTTCGCACAGTTGACACAGCAGTTGACATTTATTTATACATAAAATCTATTCGCCTATCCTCAATGGCTGCAAATTTGTCTATATTATCGTCGTAAAATTTTGAATTTTCTGATAACTGTTTAACAAGCTGTTTTTTCAATGGACATTAGGGCTTAATTGGAGAGTCTGTCTTCACTTGTTGGATTTCGTATTAAACTTTTAAGGCGCTTTAAAGCTGAAAAACTTCGCTCAACTGACGCACTTGTGGCTGGGATGATTAGTACTAATTCACACAACTTGACGACTTCACAAAGGGATTTTAAACCAGTTGTTATAAGAAAATTTAACACATTGATGGGCGTCTTTTTATCATTAATTTCAGTTGTTTCATAAACAACACTTAACTGGGACTTTAATGCTGGAATGTCGAAAAAACTTTTTCCATAATTTAATTTTAGTGAATTAAAAGCTTCCGATGGAAATTTTGATGAATCGTAGTTACTAATATTAAAATTGCACAATTAAACAAATTTTAATTCGTTAAAGTTTTGAAATCGAGAGTTTATTTGTTGTAGAATATTATCAAAAACTTCGGCGTATAATCGACGATAGGAGGTCTCTCTGTCGCCGACATTATCAATTCTAATTCTTTCTTTCAGGTTCTAAGCCAATGTTTTGAGTCTTATTCCAAAAGTGTTCAAAAAGATCTCGTTTATTATTCATTTTATTTTTAAAATCATTAATTTGTTTAATGCAGGAAGCCAATGTCATTTGACTTTGTCTGTAAAATGTCGAATAAAATGTCAGTAAAAGGGAAAAATTTTGAGCAAAAAGTTGAAGTCAAAGTTTTGTTTGAGCCAAAGCAAATACCCTTTAGCAGCAGTAACAGTTTCAGCATCCCATGTTTCTTTATTATCCCAAACGTCTTGAAAAAAGTTTATCAAAGAATCACGGTATTAAAACACTGTATGCACGAAACGTCCATTGTAGTTCCATCTCGTCGGAGCAACTTTTGGAAACCTTCTTTGAACGTGAACGTCCAAAGCGCGAGTTCTTTTCGATGACTTTGAAAAGAAAAAAGCCAAACCACTAAGCGTCGAAAAGAAAGCTTTGCAACGAAAATTGAATGTTTAAACTTCTCTTTTACTTTAGCTGGAAGGCCTCCTAAATAGCCAGCCATTACGGCAGCACCATCGTAGCTCTTAACAACAAGGTTAGAAACACATTCTAAACTTGAAATAAAGTCACGAACAATTTTAAACAATGCATCTGCAGTTCGTTCGCTAGTGACGTCCAAAAATCCTAAGAATCGCTCTTGAGGAATTCCATCCAATACATATCGCACAACAATGGATAATTGAATTAAGTTTGCTACATCTGTGGTTTCATCAAGCGCAATTGATACGAAAGGTGCTTTTTTAATTTTACTTTTAATGTGATCCATCACAACGTCGGCAGTGCATTTAATTAAATCATTTTGGATTCTGTTTGCGGTACCTCGGAAAGTCGTCGAATCAATAAAATGATTTTTTAGGGCATCATCGTATTTTGCTAGAAAACAAGGTTTATGTAATTTCCTCGATTGGCGGATCCACTTGCTTCATTGTGACCCCTAAAACTTAGTTCATGGTTTCCCATGAAACAAATTACATCTATTAATCGTTGTAAGACGTTCCTATTTTTTTTTACCATTTCATTATGAATTTTGTTGCTTATTTTTAAATGATTGTCAAAAATATGTTCAATGCGATAGGTCCCGAATATTTTTTCTTTAATTGTAGCACTTATATGAGATTTGCTATTTACATGTCGTTTTACACTTTTATGAAAAGTATTCAAGTCTGTAATACCGACTGAGTTCCAATGTGTTCTTTAGACTATATTAAAAAATAGGCTAGGCCAGCAAAATAATTTCTTCAAAGTTTTGCAGCCGGTTAACCATTCATACTTTTCATAGAACCCTACGTGAAAATGCCTGGTAAATTTCTTTGCTGATTTTTCTACTTTCGTCTCTAAATTGATATAATCCTTTAGTCTATTAGAATTAATAATGACTGTTTTCTCTTCAAATTTTCTACTTGAAAATCCTTTTTTCAATTAAAATCACACAATAGAGACACAATTTACCACATTATTATTGTTCACAGGCACAGTGCATAGTTCCTACATTTTACAAAAAGAAAAACAACTACGAAAAACAAACCGAAATCTACCTAAAATCTAAGATTTTCCTCAAACGTCGATTCGCGGTGCGAATTGCAATATGCGTAAGGCGACGTAATAGTCGCTGCCTCTCGACCGTATTTCACGTGAGCAAACAGACTGATACTGTCGCGGCAAAGCAGGGTCAATAACACTAAGCGAAATAACTTGCAAGATGAACCGGCTATTTCAAGACGCGCTTCCGCCGACGGACTCCTGTGTATGTTTACACAATTAATTTTCTCATGGGTGTTGCGTGCGTTTACACATTACACCAATGGATTGTTAGTACATTTACGAAGTTTACGTAATGTTTCAGAGAAAATATAGTACCTAATTTAGTATTAATTTCTATGCATTGTAAACTTAAAAATATTTATTTTTAAATTTCAAAGTGTAGGGAAGCGGTGCTTCCCCCGCTTCCATGGACAGCACGCCCCTGAAGTATAAACAATTTTTCACGATACATCGTGGTATTTTGAACTTGAAATTGAATAACTAAAACTTTAAATTGCTAACCCACCAATAAATAAATCAATAAACAGCTGGCAATGGTGATTGAACTCAGGCGAAGATGACCGTTGAATAGAAATATCGATGCAATTCGGGTGGCGAACTGAAATTACTTTATTAATTAATTTTTTTCATTTTCAGCAACATCAGTTGGGAGGAATCTTCACGCAAGTTGTAAGTTCAATATTTAAAACATTATTTTTTTAACTTGGAACAGTATTGTTTTAGTGATAAATAAGCTTACGTTACGCCTACAGTGCTGGCAAAATCAAACTTTCCTTGTACTTCTGTTGTGTTAAAGTGAAAAATAAATGGCGTTAGTACATGCAGGACAAGAAACGATTAAGTATATACTTTCTTGCGAGTATAGGGTTTGCTGTTTTTCTCCTCGCTGTTGTATAAATGAAAAGCCGGCCACAATTAACACCATTTATTCGAAATTATTCGGACTGTTATATCACAAAATGAAATATACACTATTTACATACTGATACTGCGCTACTCTAGAAAATTAAACACATTTATGCCAATATTTCGGTGTTTTTTTTTAGAAAACAATTTGAGAAATGTAAGATGGTGGTAGGACACCTGGGTGACTGGATGAAAAGGCGCTGACGGCAGAGCTTCAATACCTCTTAGAGAAACCACAACACTCCGCTGTCACCGGCCTTTCGTCCAGTCACTGAGGCGCCATACCGCCATCTTACATTTCTAAAATTATTTCCTAAAATACGCCAAAATTTTGGCAAAAATATGATTAATTTTCTTCTTTCTAACGGGCATGTAAAACTAGTGCCTAATGGTTTCCCATTGTCAAATAAAGTCGAATCTGACCTAAATATTAAAATGAGTAATTATAGATTGAAACAACTTTTGATATTCTGATATGTGCTGGTTCCTTAAAGGTATGGCTACATTCAAATTCATACATTACTGCTTTATTACTGATCATTTTAAAATAGTTTTTTTATGCAACACAAGTTCACAAATACCATTATAAACTTAGATATACATTTTTGGTTTGCTTAGAAAAGTAGTCAAAGTTCCTTTGAATTTTACTGTTTTATTGTAATTAAAAAACGCCGATATATTAGCGCATGATGGTTTGGCTTGTAGCGAAGCCGTGTTGAAAGCACATTCATTTTTGAAGGTGTGAAAAAGCTCTGACTTTTAAGAAAGAAAAATGCAACAATTTATGTTTTTAACAGACTGAATAATCATCTTTTCGCGTGGTGGCATCACTTGAATTGTGGAACATATTTTATTGGCTATGAAGTGACGCTCATATGTATATCACAAGGGGGTGATGTAATCGGTTTGTTTTGTTCAACGTTATAGATCAATTCTATAGGGTCGGCGTAAGTTGCATTGTTAAGTGTATCTCATTAGTAAAGTTTTAACTTAACTCTAAATTGAATTTCAACTCAACACTGAGTCAACAACGACTGTCTTGTTTTTCTTTATATTGATATGCTACAAACCACTGGCTCAACAGGCAACATCGGTATCGTTTCTAGTCCTGCGTATGTAGTCCAATAACTACGTAAATTTATCTTGAAAAATTTGCGGAAGTTTTGATATTTTGTGATTCTACGTATTTTGAGCTGCTTTTTTGAATTTTTATTTTGCCACCTCGTATCTTTGCCGCTCTCGCCGACATATTGCAATCAATTGTAAAAAAAAAGAGATTTTTTTAATATATATCGTTGCTTTTGCAGTAGAAATGGTTATGTAGGAAATTAAACTACATAACTTTCTCTACCAAATTGGTCCTTAGCAGCATGCCAAGGAATAGGAATTTTATTCATTGAGCATACTGTTCGAATCTAAAAGTTGGATACGGATCTCGTAAGCTAATTGACAGCTTGGCTTCACTGGTATTTTGTTCCTCGTACACGGAAGCAACACTTTTTTTTGAAGTTTCGGCTTTGATGCGCCCTCCTTTGGGTATTGACCGGAATGCCTTTTCACAGTTCGTTTTCGACAATGTGGACTTTAATACTCACACCCTGGATGGCACAAACACTTTTCCGGCCCGCAAGTGCCATTGCTCCTGATCACAAAAATGCCGTCAACTCAGTACGTCGAAAATTCTGGTAGCATTGCACTACGAAGCCATGAGAAGATAAACTTTTTCAGTCTACAGGGAATTCCTATTTTAGATCTCCGTACTATTTGTTCAGTCGCAAATACAATAATTTCGTCAACTTCAGATCTGCTGTGGCTCTACGGGAAATGGGCTGATTTGCCCAATATACCTGGATGAAATGGATTTATGGAAGAAGTGACAGTAAACCATTCATATCAGAAATCTTTTATAGCTTGTTTGCCTTTCATTAATGCACCACCGACTAACTCCGACACGATTTTTACTGTTTTAGCATCAGTCACTGAGAAAAGTCATTAAATCAGCAAACATGTTTCATCACTGTATTTTAAAGCAAAACAAATTGTCTGTTTGGGTGGCATGGAAGCAACATTGAAAAATGTCGTTATACAATTAGGTGACTTTCATTTTATTGATGTCGTTCATGGGAGCCATAGGGTATATTATAAATGGTAGTGGATTAACCAAGCTTCTATGAACAATTTTTGCACCAAACTCACTTGAAAAGATGTTATCTGGTCAGGGATTCTTATGTGCAAACTCAACACGTAACGAATCAAATAGAGAGGAGACATTACTTAGGATTCGTATCTGTGGAACAACGATAGTCGTTTCAACACGTGCCGTATTGAAAGATGAGAATCCCAATGCAGGTCATGCATACTCTCGTCCGTGCAGAGCACATGTGTCCATCTCGCAAAATTGATAATGCAGCAAATTGATTTATCACCAGACCAACATGCAGGACTAAAATGCTACTTGTTAATCATTTTAACATAAGTATCGAAGGTTTGATCTTATTAGCATATATAGATGCCACCAAAATGGTTCTAAATATACCATATTTGTTCTGTATTCTGTTTATAACTTACTATATCCTTTTCTATGTCTATTTCAAGACAGCACAAATGTGTACGTTGGAAGTTTATTCGAAATACATTTTTAGATGACTGGACTGGCCTATCGATAACTAATGGACGTCCGGTAAAGTATAAAAATGGCACACTTTTGACCATGCAAACTCACGCAATGAACGTTAAATAATTACCAATGGGCGTACACTGAACGTGAACGCATTGGGGCGGGAGTATTCTCCAAAAACCTTGATACTAACCATAGCTATGCGATAGGAATACATTTCGCGGTATTTCAGGCTGAAGTATACGCAATTTTGCAATGTGCAAAAACAAACAACGAAAGAACTGTCGAAAATCAGCATATTTAAATAATGTCAGACTGGTATGGGAATGCATCGAAGAACTAAGAACACTGGCAGACCTAAATAGAGTAAAACTATTTTGGGTGCCAGGTCACCAAGGGATCGAAGGTAACGAAAAGGCTGACGAACTTGCAAAAAGAGGGTCAGAAGAAACACCGGAACTAGACACAAACCCAGTAGTACCGAAAAGTACAGTCCGGGGTTTCATAAACGACTGGATTCGGGAACACCCCAAAACAGGCACATGGAAAAGCCTTCATAGGCAGACTATGTCCCAAAAGAACTGGGGGAACTACTCTTTATGAATAGGAACCAGTTAAAAGTGATAATAGGGTTCATGACTGCGCACGCCCCAGTAAAGGGACACTTGAACAAAATTGGCATGTACAATGGATAACTCATGTGCCGACTATGTGACAAGAAACCAGAAACGGCCAAACACATACTGTGCGAATGCGAAGCTCTAGATTGCAAAAGACAGGCTCTTTTTGGACAACCTCAGGTTGATCCAACAACGTATAGAACCCACTCACCCAAGGATCTGTACAAACACACGGTACAAAGGTGACAGAGTGGGTACTATGAACTAACATGGGGTAAAACACAATAAGCCAAGAGGCTCAAGTGTCATTCGGAGAAATAGTCAGACGAGTCCAGGAGAGAGAAAAAAACACTGAACGTTTTTGATATGATACTAAACATTCAAAAAATGTCCCTTCCTGGATTATATTTCATTGCATTACTTCAGACCACATCTCCACTTTTTTACACAACGGTAACCCACCATATACTATTTTAGATTAATAATAATAATGTATTTATTAATTTCTCAGCTCGCCATATACCATTATTATTTTGTATTAAATATAAAAAGCTTGACCTAAGCTGGAATAGAACCGACACGTTCGTTAACGTTCTACGCCTCTAGATGCTATACGACCTTGATCACAGAGACACCTTACCCATTGTTACTAGATATTATTCTAATATAATAATAAGATTTTTAACCTCCACTGATAGAATGAAATGCAATAGATTCAATTTTTCAATTTTTAATGACCCAAGTATATAAAGAAAGAAAGTTTGTATAGGTAAAATAGGCAAAACTTAAAATTAAGTGCAAAAACAGACGTCCACTGGGTATCGATATGCAGTTGTCAAATTAATTTTCATAAACTGGATGTGCGAATACAGCTATGGACGTTTTGACCCTCAAATGAATCTAAAATAAACATCCATTGGACTATATGTGTGCTGCCTGGGTTATTTTTTTTTATTAAAATTTGTGGTAATTCCCCGAAGTTACAACACAACACAATACAATTTAATAATACATTCTGAAAACGTATTTAAAGGGAAGAATAATTTTTTATTTAGATGTTCAAATATAAAAATAGTTATTAAAATTATTGAAAAACGACCCTTTTTAAAATGTAACTTCAGGTTTTGTCCTACATCAAGCTTTTAATAGATCGTCAGATAGTGACTGATTTAGGTGCCCCATTTTCGCATACAAGCCTCGAAAAGGGTTGAAAAGTACTTTGATTTTGAGTAGAATGAAAGGAAATTTACGAATGGATCCTGGGGATAACATATGGAAAATTCAAGTCCACATCCGATACTCATGCCAATTTTATTATTACGTCTAACAAATTAATAACAATCTATGGTTAAAAAGGCTTGAATGAAAAAGTAACTCAAAAATAAAAAAAAAATTGCGGTAATTTTTCCGACTCCAAAATGCACTTATCCATTCACGTCATTCAAGCCAATATGTTTTTTGGGCTAGTGACGATGTACGTATTCATACTTTCGACGGGCTTGTGTGGAAAAATCAGTTAAAATATCGATTTTTCTATACAAAATTACGCCCTTATTTCAACCCTTTAGCCACTTGCAACATTAAAGCCTTTAGTTTTCCGAAGCATAATTCTATTAGTTAATCATATAGTGAAAACGGCTTGCGTAGAAAAATGAGCAAAAAAACACCTTTTATTTCTGTTAAGGAAAATCGAATTTTCCATATGTTATCCCCAGGGGCCACTCGTAAATTTCCTTTCATTCTACTTAAAATCGATGTACTTTTCAACTCTCTTCGAGGCTTGTATGCGAAAATGGGGCACCTACATCAGTCACTATCTGACGGTCTATAACTAGATCAGTCAGAAACAGTCACTGACATATTTTTGTTTGTGTTGAATTCAGCACAGAGGTGCTGAAACTAAGAAAAATTCAAATAAAAGGAGTAGATGTATTTGATTTTGAACTAATTTGCCGTGATGGATAAATAAAAATACCCGACAAATTACTAAAAATAATTTTAAATTTGGTAATACTACCAAGGGAAATCCTATTACTATCTAGCTAGTATTGTGAGGTGAAAGATTATATGATAGTTTCGGTTTTTTAATGGTAGGAAACTTATAAATGATTACGTATATAAAGGTTTTTGGATTTCTACATTTTAAAAAGGGGGCAGTAAATAAATAAAGGTAAAAATGAAAAAAAAAATAAATAAAAAAAATAAATAAAAAAAATAAATAAACAAAAATAAATAAAAAATAAATAAAATATAAATATAAAATAAATAAAAATAAATAAAAATAAATAAAAATAAATAAAAATAAATAAAAATAAATAAAAATAAATAAAAATAAATAAAAATAAATAAAAATAAATAAAAAATAAATAAAAATAAATAAAAAATAAATAAAAATAAATAAAAATAAATAAAAATAAATAAAAATAAATAAAAATAAATAAAAATAAATAAAAATAAATAAAAATAAATAAAAATAAATAAAAATAATATAAAAATAAATAAAAATAAATAAAAATAAATAAAAATAAATAAAAATAAATAAAAATAAATAAAAATAAATAAAAATAAATAAAAATAAATAAAAATAAATAAAAATAAATAAAAATAAATAAAAATAAATAAAAATAAATAAAAATAAATAAAAATAAATAAAAATAAATAAAAATAAATAAAAATAAATAAAAATAAATAAAAATAAATAAAAATAAATAAAAATAAATAAAAATAAATAAAAATAAATAAAAATAAATAAAAATAAATAAAAATAAATAAAAATAAATAAAAATAAATAAAAATAAATAAAAATAAATAAAAAATAAATAAAAATAAATAAAAATAAATAAAAATAAATAAAAATAAATAAAAATAAATAAAAATAAATAAAAATAAATAAAAAATAAATAAAAATAAATAAAAATAAATAAAAATAAATAAAAATAAATAAAAATAAATAAAAATAAATAAAAATAAATAAAAATAAATAAAAATAAATAAAAATAAATAAAAATAAATAAAAATAAATAAAAATAAATAAAAATAAATAAAAATAAATAAAAATAAATAAAAATAAATAAAAATAAATAAAAATAAATAAAAATAAATAATAATAAATAAAAATAAATAAAAAAAATAAATAAAAATAAATAAAAATAAATAAAAATAAATAAAAATAAATAAAAATAAATAAAAATAAATAAAAATAAATAAAAATAAATAAAAATAAATAAAAATAAATAAAAATAAATAAAAATAAATAAAAATAAATAAAAATAAATAAAAATAAATAAAAATAAATAATAAATAAAAATAAATAAAAATAAATAAATAAAAATAAATAAAAATAAATAAAAATAAATAAATAAAAATAAATAAAAATAAATAAAAATAAATAAATAAAAATAAATAAAAATAAACAAATAAAAATAAATATTGATCTGACCGAGAATCGAACGCACGACATGTCAATTAATGTTCTTCGCCTTCAACCGCTCTAAGCTCTCTACCACGTATATATTTAATAATTTATTACTAGTGTTTATATTTCAGATTACAATCTTAAATTAAAACATAATTTGTGTAAACTGTCATTTGTGTTTAAATCACATATTTAAAAAATATATATTGTTTGCCTTTTATTAGCCCTTCAAATAACCCATCTCTCTTTATCCACGCCTTTAAGAAGTACATATTGTATTGGCCATCCTGCTAACGACGAGTTCACACAATTACATACACAGCTATATAGTATACAAGTTAAAAATATTGCTTTCTCGACCAGTGCTAAAAATTACGTATGCACCGGTTAAAAATAGAACTACTCCACACTCTTTTGCGCGCGCTATCTCATATGTCGCAATGCTTGTCTCGCTCCCTCTCTTCAATAGTAAGAAATATTTCTTCGGAACATTCCAGACTCACACAGGACTCAATCAGAACATTTTACCGCTCTCAGACTCGCGTAGTAATCTTCCAAGTGAAAGGATGTCGCGAAGACGACTCCTTATTCCTTTTTAATTAACCTAAAAAGTGCTTACATATTGTTACGCAGGTTTTTCTTAATTTATTTCAACTTAACTTTTACAACTGATAACATGAACGTCTATCATAAAACTGACTATCTGACGTCAGGATCACCGACTTATATAGCTTGATTAAACCTTCTAGAACCTTTCCTAACGTCCAAATGTTTCTTGACGTGGAATGACATTTCTGGACATTTCTCGAATATTCTCCCTTCTTCTTTTACATGCAACTTTACTTATGACGACCAGAGCATGTTGTAGCGTGATGGGTGACATACTTCCTTTATTCGTACATTTTCTATAACAGCCGCAGGCTACTGCAGGGTGCTGCGTAACAATATAGTGTTATTCACTTCGTCAAGCAGACGCTGTCTTAAGCGTCCTGCATAGTAACCTCCTCGTAAACAGACATTTCTGCAACCATAAAGTGAATTTTCCATGCACGAAAGTTAGTGTACAAAAAATATTTATTTGTGTTTTCTATAGTGGAATAAATAGTGTGGTTCCTATAACCGGCTTTCCTATCAACAGCTGAAATACAGTTCCGTTTTGTCCAGGTTAACACATCACATATCACATTCTAATAACATAATTATTGTGTTCGCGATTATGTAATAAAATACTGGGTCAAAATACTCCGATTTTAATATCAAGTTTAAACTAAAACAAGCATGAAATATTAAGTACAATAATTCTTACAAATATGCTAAATCATGAGAGCGCAACCCCCTGACACACTGTCAAACGTCAATGTATCTCAACTGTTCACATCATTAATACCTCGCACCTTATACTCGCAGCCTCCTATGTACACAACAATAATTAGATAATATAATAATTCGATTTTAAACTTCTGCTGGTGGAATGAAATAAATGGAATAGATTCAATTTTTAAATACCACTTATATTTTGGAAATAAAAAAGTATGTATGAGTATTATATGATGGCAAGCTAAATAAATAATGATCAAAGCTAGACTTCCATTGTACGTCAATATTCTACTTAACTTGTACTAAACTTATATCCAAAAACGGTTGTCCACTAGATATCGATTAATGTTTATAAACAAACGTACACTAAACTTCCGAAAATGGATCTAAAATGAACGTCCATTGGATTATGTGAGCTATGGGGATTGTGGTATTAGATATAGTGTAAATTCTACATAGGTAATTAGATATAAACAATAATAACATTGTTTTTTTTTTTATTTTTCTTAAGATGACAGACTGTACCTGTGCTGATGTAGGAGTTAAATGCATCTGTGATCTGTGTAGTCGAGCAGAATGCACATGTGGTATGGAAGTGTGTGTATGTGGAGTAGAAGAAGATATTGAAATTCCTGAAGGAGGCAACCCGCCTCCTCAAGACAATCTTCCTCGTCAATCATATAAAGTCCAGGCCACAGGTCCTGTAAAGATGGTTACGAAAGTGTCCGGAATAAAACCGGGACAAAAACCAGGAATACAACCAGGTTTGTTTTTTAATCTACTAGGTTTTGTTTAAAATTTCCATTAATTTTTGGAAGCTAAAAATTTATAAAATAAATAAAATCAGGTAAACGATAGTTAATAAAAAAAAGCGGGAAGCAGAATTAGGGATGCTTATGTCATCAAGTGTACTGTTGCTTTTGCAGTAATAGTTCAGTATCAATAGCCTCAAAAACCGTTTATCGGCCACGTTATGTCTTGGTGAGTAACTATTGCATTCCGACCAAATAGGGTTGTTGATTATCACAGCTTTTACACAACCGAGTTATGAGACAAAAAGCTTAAAAAATACTTTCCATTATCATTTTCTGTGATTGTTTTTTCAGTAGTCTTCTTCTTTTTTTTCTTCTTCTTACTCTAGAGTATTCATTAGATTATTAATTAGATTAGATTATTCATTAGATTATTCATTAGATTATTCATTAGATTATTCATTAGATTATTCATTAGATTATTCATTCGATTATTCATTAGATTATTCATTAGATTATTTATTAGATTATTCATTAGATTATTCATTAGATTATTCATTAGATTATTCATTAGATTATTCATTAGATTATTCATTAGATTATTCATTAGATTATTCATTAGATTATTCATTAGATTATTCATTAGATTATTCATTAGATTATTCATTAGATTATTCATTAGATTATTCATTAGATTATTCATTAGATTATTCATTAGATTATTCATTAGATTATTCATTAGATTATTCATTAGATTATTCATTAGATTATTCATTAGATTATTCATTAGATTATTCATTAGATTATTCATTAGATTATTCATTAGATTATTCATTAGATTATTCATTAGATTATTCATTAGATTATTCATTAGATTATTCATTAGATTATTCATTAGATTATTCATTAGATTATTCATTAGATTATTCATTAGATTATTCATTAGATTATTCATTAGATTATTCATTAGATTATTCATTAGATTATTCATTGGATTATTCATTTATTCATTAGATTATTCATTAGATTATTCATTAGATTATTCATTAGATTATTCATTAGATTATTCATTAGATTATTCATTAGATTATTCATTAGATTATTCATTAGATTATTCATTAGATTATTCATTAGATTATTCATTAGATTATTCATTAGATTATTCATTAGATTATTCATTAGATTATTCATTAGATTATTCATTAGATTATTCATTAGATTATTCATTAGATTATTCATTAGATTATTCATTAGATTATTCATTAGATTATTCATTAGATTATTCATTAGATTATTCATTAGATTATTTATTAGATTATTCATTAGATTATTCATTAGATTATTCATTAGATTATTCATTAGATTATTCATTTGATTATTCATTAGATTATTCATTAGATTATTCATTAGATTATTCATTAGATTATTCATTAGATTATTCATTAGATTATTCATTAGATTATTCATTAGATTATTCATTAGATTATTCATTAGATTATTCATTAGATTATTCATTAGATTATTCATTAGAGTATTCATTAGATTATTCATTAGATTATTCATTAGATTATTCATTAGATTATTCATTAGATTATTCATTAGATTATTCATTAGACTATTCATTAGACTATTCATTAGATTATTCATTAGATTATTCATTAGATTATTCATTAGATTATTCATTAGATTATTCATTAGATTATTCATTAGATTATTCATTAGATTATTCATTAGATTATTCATTAGATTATTCATTAGATTATTCATTAGATTATTCATTAGATTATTCATTAGATTATTCATTAGATTATTCATTAGATTATTCATTAGATTATTCATTAGATTATTCATTAGATTATTCATTAGATTATTCATTAGATTATTCATTAGACTATTCATTAGATTATTCATTAGATTATTCATTAGATTATTCATTAGATTATTCATTAGATTATTCATTAGATTATTCATTAGATTATTCATTAGATTATTCATTAGATTATTCATTAGATTATTCATTAGATTATTCATTAGATTATTCATTAGATTATTCATTAGATTATTCATTAGATTATTCATTAGATTATTCATTAGATTATTCATTAGATTATTCATTAGATTATTCATTAGATTATTCATTAGATTATTCATTAGATTATTCATTAGATTATTCATTAGATTATTCATTAGATTATTCATTAGATTATTCATTAGATTATTCATTAGATTATTCATTAGATTATTCATTAGATTATTCATTAGATTATTCATTAGATTATTCATTAGATTATTCATTAGATTATTCATTAGATTATTCATTAGATTATTCATTAGATTATTCATTAGATTATTCATTTATTAAAACTAACCTAACCTCTCGTTTATTTACATGCTAAATTTGAATCTTGGCCATGACCTTGTGATAGTTTCTATTTTTTTATTTGATTTTAATTTGGGTAATAGATTAAATGATTGCTATTGACAATTTAGTCATCCATAATCAGAATCTTCTTAGTTCCTGAAGTTCAATCTATTTTTCTTTCAAACTTGGGAGAACTATGTTATTTTAAAATTTTTGTGAGAAATGTCATATGTCAATCTGAAAACAGTAGGTATTTTGAAAGTCAGTGATAATTTAGGGGAATTTTAATTCCCTCAAACTAAACTGATAGTACCAGTCAGTGAATTATCCGGGCTCTAAAAATACTATTTTTATGTTGACGTAGACATTTATCATTAAAATCATATATAATTATTTATTTTGAGTTTGTATTACACCACAGAACAGCTGATCATCTGGTGTAGTGTAATTGATACTATATACATTCTTAGTTATATATACAAAATTCAAATTGTTCTTCTTTAGACAGATCACCAAATGAAATATTTTCAACAGTAAAAGACAGGGTCAGAAGCTTTTACGATTTATTTCATTCACTAAGGCGTTAAACTTTTAGGACTACAAGGACCATGCGAATGCGTTGCTTTAAAAGCACAGGTTGGCTCAAAAGGTGGAAAAGGAGGTGATGATACACTTTGTACTGATGGAAAAGGAGGTACACCTGGAACTTCTAGACCTTCTAGAGCTTCCAGACCTTCTGGGCCTACTAGAGAATCTAGACCTTCTGGGCCTACTAGAGAATCTAGACCTTCTGGAACTACCAGAGATTCTAGACCTTCTACTCCTACAAGTCCTTCTAGACCTTCTAGTTCTAGGCCATCTAGTGCGAAAAAACCTCCAGTTTATGATGTATGTTCCCTTTTTGAGCACACTCCAACCAAAGAAGATATAAGGATTAAAAAAATAGGAGTAGATATACTTAGAGATTCCGAAAATTCTATTCAAATATTAATGGATGCGCTGGAGGTAGGATATTAATTTAATTTACAAAAATTACCTCAATAGAGTTAGAAGCAAAGACTATTGGTGCATTCATGATAGGGAAAGCAAAAGTGATACTAGCGCTAGCTGCATTTTAGGGCGACATTTTGTAATTTTGGGGTATTAAATATAATTTAAAAAAAAAATAGTTAACAGCTATATAATGAGCAACCTGCTGTGCTGTAAATTGTAAAAATACTAGCAAAAAAGTATAAATTTTCACTAGCAAAATAATGAAGGGAACAGTAATTACAAACCTTTATTTTTGTAACAAGAGTATCTAATACCTATTGAACATAGTAGATATCAGAAAACTGAAAGGTTTTATATGCACATGTTTTAGTAATTTTTTTAATTAAATATACTTTCTTTTCTTTAGCTGTAGTAATAAAAATATATATAATAATAATAATACTAATATTAATAATAATAATAATAATAAGTGAATCTTTTCACTTGTTTTATAAATCAATATACTTTTATCAAAACCAAAAAATACATTTTTTACTTACGAATTCTATTAAAAATGATACGATCAATAAACGCAAAATCGCCCTTTAGTACATGTTTTAGTTCGCACTGCCGTTACGCACGAAGCGAATATTGTGCTATTTTAGTTTTTTTAAACGCTGTTGCTTGGTACACGCTAAAGTGTACACAAATCAAAAAATTATATACACGCGAAACGTCATATTGCTATGGTGGGAGGTGTTGGTGTGAATGCGTCTTGTTTGTTTTTATTTACGCCGTGACTAGCACAGTAGTGTTTTATAAACCTTAGAAGCAAATTTCACATACATGAACAAATAATAATAATAATGCCGTGACAACAAGAAAAAGAAGTAACGACTACCTAGCTACACCGGCGTGAACACCAACGGCCTGCACATAGCTCACCTACTCTGTCAAGACGTTTCGCGTGTATATAAATTTTTGAATTGCATACAAGTTAGCGTGTACCTAGACACTGTGTTTTTTAAAATGTAATCCTAAATTTATCTATTTTATTTTTAAGGAGCGGAAGAACTTGTGTCAACAGCAACAAAAAAATATTTCAAATTTGAAAAATGAACGTGACAAGTTAACCCAAAAAGTGGAAGATTGTCTAAAAGATCTAGAAAAGTTAAAGGTAGGCTAAATACTGATTTATTTACGTTTTGAGTTGAAAAAATCTCAATGAAGATACGAAATGCGAATTTTTACTATCATCATAATTACTATATCGACCTCATCCTTTAGATGTGTATGTTTCTTCTTCTATTTACATTTTACATCATTTCAATCGTAATAATTATCTTCAGTCTCATAAAAAGACTAACCACTTTCATCTCGATTTGTTCAATATGCAATCCTACCTCTTTATTAGAAACTTACTCCACCAATTATTTCTGAAACGAGTATACTATTCTGCGTCGCTTCATGATAAAATGGCGCAGAAAAGAATATCGCAAGGCAAAATAGCGCAAGGACTAAATACCCAAGACATAAAAGTCCAAGGACAAAATAGCGCGGGATAAAGCGCGTGACATAAGTGGGCTACCACACCAAAGTAGCATGCAACGTGCGTCTTGCTGCCAGGAAGCAGGAAGCATGCTGCTTGTTTTAAAACCCATACATATAAATGAATGGTTTCACACCGAAGTGGCGTCGAAAAAATGCGACGTGGCAACATGCGACGTGCGACTCAAATATAAAACAAGTCGTATAATTTGCTACTTTCCCACGTGCTTCCAACCCGCGCAGACGTTATTTGACTTGTTTAGTGGCCGAGTTAATAAATTCGTTTTTAAGTTTTTTCGCGATGTCTAGCAAAAACGCTGTAAAAACATTACCGGATGATAAACAATTTAATATAGACTTTGTTCAGAATGTCGAGAAGTACCCGTGTCTTTATGATCATACTTTAAAAGGCGTACAGCAATAGAAGTGAACAAGATAAGGCTTGGAACCAAGTTGCTGGGACATATTTTTCCACAGGTAAGTTCGTTATTTTTATTTAACTCAAGAAAATCGTTGTGTCTTGTCGACTGGTAACGACTGGCCAATAAAAGGCCGGCAAAATATCGATTTACAGAATTTGCTGGATGGCTGTCCAAAAAGGTTAGGTTATGTTAAATTGATAAAGAAAAACAAGCGAAAGGCTGTTCAGCTCACGTTCGTTAAGCATTTGATTTTTAAAACTAGACGAGAAGACTTGAAAACATGTGGTTGTCATCAATATTTTCCCGATTGTTTATAGCCACTCGTTATCAGTGGAGTACCTACGCACAGCAAAATGAAAAACTTTAAAAAATAAACATTTATTACCATCTTGATTTGCAAGGAACAGATTAATTTAAAATCGAGAAAAATTAAACAATAACGCGGCGGATTGCGTATTTATATACAAACATTGTTTTGCCATGGCAAAGCGTTTTCAGGTTTTACGAAGTATGCGCATAACCTATCCCTTAAATCGCTTGCCGTTGTTGGTTGACGTCCGTGAAGCTCTTGTTGTAAGCCCGGTAAGGCATTGTTGATTGCGTCAACATCTTGTTCATTGTTAGATTACAAAAACCTACCATCATGTTTCTGAACGAAATTATGCAAAGTACATGCAGCTTAGACAACATGGACAACTTTTTCTGGTTCGCAGTCAATTTGAGTTTCAAAAATTCTAAATTTTGAAACCAGCATACCAAATGCACACTCAACACTTTTTCTAGCCCTCGAAACTCTGCAGTTGAATATTCTTTTAGAGTTAGTTAGGGTTCCTCTGGGGTATGGTCGCATAATATTGCTATTAAGCGGGCTTCATCTCCTACAAAAAACATTGAAAAGTGGAATTGTTCTCGTCATTTGGTAAGGCAGCAGAAGGTGGAATGTTCAATTTATTTTCACTAAGAGCGCGAAGACAACCGGAAGATTTAACTACACGACCATCACTATTTCTTCCATAGTCACCAACACTTATAAAAGTGAATAGACCATCTGCGTCTGCACTTGCCATTAAAACTACTGAAAAATAGCCTTTATAGTTAAAATATGCTGAACCTGATTTTTTAGGGCACTTAATTCTTATGTGTTTGCCATCTAAGGATCCCAAGCAATTTGGCATATTCCATAGTTCATAGTATCTCGCAGAAATCTCTTTCCATTGCTCTATTGTAGGTAATGCCATATATTGTGGTTGGAGGACTATCCACAATTTCTGAGCAGTATCAGCAATAATGTTACTTATCGTTGAAATTCCTCGATAAAATTCAAAGTGCAGTACCGTAAATGACATACCAGTTGCTAGAAACCTAAAAAAGAAACAGAAAAAATATTTAATAAATTGAAATGTCAATATTATGTACGATAATAGTATATTCTTAATTAGAATGTCAAAATTCGAATAACATAAATTTACACGCATACTTTTTGTTTAAGCTTCTGAATGCAAGAAAAAATGGAAAATACTACGAGGTAGTCTCACAAGATATATAAAACAGTGTACTGGAAAAAGTGGAGATTCAGCTAAATCAAAAAAGAAATATTATTTATGGGATGTAATGCAATTCGTGGTACCGTTCACGAAATCAAGACCCCAATCGGGCAATTTGCCTATTGAGAGTGATGAAGAGGAAATACTTGAAACTGATCAGTACAGTATAGACGATGACAATGAGTCAAAAGCTACCGGTCCTGAAGAACACCCCTCTGATCATCATCCGGAAGTAGATTTACCGGATAATAATTTCTCACGTACACCTTCACGTACATCGAGTAGATCCTCAACAAAAAGAATGAGGATGAAATGGAGCATGCTGTCGTCAATTACCTTTCTCAAAAAAGTGCACCAAAACCTGAAAACCCAGACTTAGATTTTCTTAAAAGCATTCTTCCTGATATTGCTACTTTAAACGAATCCAAGAAACGAAGATTCAAGGTAATAGTACTGCAGACATTAGACAATATGTTGCAAAAAAATACTACATCAACATAAGCGATGCTTCCACTTCTGTGTCTAATAATGACAGGCAAAACACGACGCACATATATAGCAACATTCACGTTGGCCAATTTACTTCGTTTCCCTCCGATGGAAGCATACTCGTCAACGAAGGTAACTATCCACCAAATTATCCTTCTGGATATGAGGGTTAAAATACACCTCAAACATTCACTGTCTTGTCGTTGACCGAATAATGATTTTAAAGCATATATTTTGTAAGTATATAATAAATTCATGTTTGAGTATTCTCTTGCCTTTTATTCTCATGCATTTAATAACTTATTAGGTACTTCAAAAATATAAGTAGTCTTTCCTCCACAGTAATAGCTCTTCGATAATTTATATCCTGTAACTGCATTGATGGTTTCATTAGATCAACAAGCGTCTTAAATGTTTCCTTCTCCATCCTGTAGTAGTTTTGGAATTTTTGAGGATGTACTTGTAACTGCTGCGATACAATGAACGTGCTATGTGTATCAGCATTATCTTGTAAATACGGATGAACCCACAGTTTTTTACTCTTTTTCCTCCAACTCGTCCTCCTCCTCCTCCTTGCAATCACAGCAATATTGTCTTCTTCCGACGACATCTTGACAACTATTTTATTGTTTGCCAACAGAAATCTGAGTGACTTTGGTATGAAAGTAAATCGTGAAGACGCCAGTTGCGACGTGCTTCCTGCTTTCTGGCAGCAAGTCACACGTCGCATGCTACTTTGGTGTGCAAGCCCACTAATACTGATAATAAAAATTTAACGAAGGGGTGGGTGGTTCAGTAGTAGAGTCTCTGCCTGCGGATCCAAGGGACCCAGGTTCGAATCCCATAGTTGGCCGGGATTTTTTTATTTAATTTAATTATTTAAAATTAATTCTGATGCCTTGGTAGGATTCCCCACTGGACCATTCACTGTTGGGTTCTAATTAACAGTGCTGTTTCTAGAGTGGCGCTGGGAAACATTAACAAAGTCTACACAGAGCACGAGGCGAAATAACATCAGTTGAAGCCTATGACACACAAAAAAAATTTAACAAACTTACCTAATCTGGGCGGTCTGGATTTATCACGGGTTTCTATATATTATACATAAGTTTCGCCATTTCCGGTTTCGTCAGACCAGTATAAGAATCTCAATAAGCTCTAATAGAAGTTTCAAATAACAACGTGATATTACCAAAGGGGTGAGACTAATAATGATAATCGATTTGCTTGCTTAGATTTGCAACTGGGCTAAATCCTGTGGTCGGACTTGTGTGAGTACCGAAACTTTCTATTAAGTCCAGGCCCCACCCAACAATGTCCAGTTTCGGGCGAACCAGGTATACGGAAGGTATTTGACGATGCCACATTTGAATTCAGCGACCCAAAAAACCTTCGGTCGCCCAGTTTCTCTCCTTCCTCGTGTGAATTTTGGGAGAGTCCCACGGAGATGACGTTCAGGGCCAGGTTTCGGTGCACCATGTGTTGGAAGGGTCGATTTTGACGGCAAATTCGGATTCAGCGCCCCAAAAAACCCCATAACGATTTTCGGTTCTTCTTTTTCGATTGTGTGAGAAAAACCCACGGAGATGAGCTCCGCGTCCAGGTTCCGGTGCACCAGGTGCCCAGGGGATCGTTTTCGATGTGAAATATGGATGAAGCGGCCAAATACGCCCCTACAATGATTTTTGGGTTGATTTTGACGATCTTGCCAGGAAAATTTTTGGAGATGACATCCACCTTTAGGTTCGAGCGCACCGAATTTTTAAGAAAATTGTTTAAATAAAAGTTGTTTGTGATATAATTCTCTATAATTCTTATTTTATACATAATTTCTCTAAAATGGACCGTAATAGAAAAATTGGAGGAAAAGTATAAAATTAAAATTTTTCATTATTTTAGTTGTCAATGAATGTAATATAGAAAAATGTTTCAAGTTAGATGTATGTGAAAAATGTATATATTAAGCTTGTCTTCTAAACATTGACGGAGGTGCTGCAATACGAGTAGGTTGTACAAAATAACCGGAAAAGTCCTGATTTTTACTTTCCTATCTGTATACAGAAATAAGGAAAGTATAGGAATCATGATTTTTTCGACCTCGAGTTTTCGACGGATTTGTTATTTACGTTTGGAGCAGAAAATTCTTCGAATAAAAGTTACTTTTAATATTATTATCTATAATTTTTGTTTAATACAAAATTTTCCTAAAATGGTCCGTATTCGAGAAATTTGACAACATAAAAAAAAATATTTTTTTGTAAAAATTGTTTAAATAAAAGTTGTTTGTAATATAATTTTCTATAATTTTTATTTTATACATAATTTCCACTGATCTGTATTATTTTACTGGGTAGAATATAGGCTATATTGAACATACTAAAAAATCGTTCCACCAAGGAGACCGGAAGTGCAACACTGCTGGCCGAGTTGGGCAAATTATGGTGGGATCACAGAACTGAAATTTGGGATAATTTGACATACCTTACCTATAATTTGATTAGTTTTTCTTCTTATTCTTCTTCTATTCCTTTTGCGGGCGATGTCCTTCGGGAAAATTCACCCATAATTTGATTTTTTATGAAAGAAAATATAAAAATGGAAACGTGAAGCATATTGTGTCTTCAGGAATGAACGTTTATTGTTTATTTCATAGTAATGCTATCCGATACTACCTACATAAATAGCAGATAAAGGATTAGTTCTAAAGTACCTATAGTGGAAAGAAAAATTTTTAAAACTGCTCTAGTGATTTTTATAACTTATAAGGACTACAACTAAAAAGAGATATTGGTAATAGAAATAACATCATCGAGCTAGCACTACATAAATGATCAAATCACTTTAGGGAACAAGTATGAAATGAGAATCGGTGAGTTTGCCATTGTTGCAATGGAACCAATAAGAACAGGGATATTAATATGGTTAAAAGATGTAGAAGATCTAAACAATACCTGTAAAAGAGAGAACAATATGGATTCATGCAACTAAACCAATTAGAATTGGAACTGATCTAGTGGTGTTTTCAGGAACATGATTTGTATTGAGACTTTGGAAGAATAATGTAGGTAGGTAGTTTATAATTGCAAAGTTAATTTTAGATGTTGAAATAAATTTTAAATTACCTACACCTGTCTAGGAAAGTTTATTAAATTTGCCGATTATTACCACTGTTAGAAATGTCTAACTCTTCCAGGTTAATAAATGGTCTTTCTGTTGTCTCTCTAACCATTTTTACACTGTACAAACCACATTGAAATTTGTGCAACTCAAAAATATGTCTTCAAAAATTGTTCTAGGAAAATACTCTTATGACTTAAATTTTGTGTAGACTATTCGAATGTAATTTACAATTAAATAAAGAACAAATTTAAAGGCTTTACATAATTTTTACATTTATGCAAATATTGATTTATATATTTTTTAAATGAAATAGAGGAAATCATGGGAAACGGTGAAAAAATAAACATTTATATTTCTTGTAACATATTTATTAACGTAAAAAAGTATAAAGTACTTAATATTTTTAAATGCATTACCAACAGAGTCTTCGTTGGTCTAATCGCATTACTGCACTTACAATATTAAAATTGGTCATATCCATACTCTTCGGCCATTTCCTTAAAAGCTCCAATTCTATAGAAACCTTAAATAACAAGAACATTATTTAATTTAGTAATATTCGTTATAATTCACTTCAGTTTTTATCATTTAATCGAAAAATGTTATTTGTATTTTGCTTGTGTAAATTAGTAATTGTTTTAGTTTGTTTCGACAAAATAGATCTATTAACAAATTATTAAAAATATAATAGTTTTATTTACCTATGAAGAGTACGGATACTCTTTTTACTTAGTTTTCCACAATAAAAACACGTCTTTACCGTAACTTCTTGACACATTTAAATGACAAATGTGATAGCAAATGGAAATAGAGGTTATGTTAAATAACATCCGGTCCGCCATATTATTTGCCCAAATCGGCCAATTTTTCGGAACGTTTTTTAGGGGGCTATATCCTATCCAGTAAAATAATACAGATCAGTGACAATTTCTCTAAAATGGACCGTATTCGAGATATTTGACTAAATGTGTAAATTTCGAATTTTGAAGAAAACTCAAAAACGGATAAAGAAAAAAACATTAAATTTTAAACTTAAGTTTTATTTCGGCCTGACGTGAAATGATTAAATTTTGGACAAAGTCGGGGGGTTACTTTATGGGAGGCCGTTTTTATATTTTATGGAATGTCTCTTATTTATGTTTGGAAAAGAAAATTGTTTAAGTAAAAGTTACTTCTAATATTATTATCTATAATTTTTGCTTTATATCAAAATTTCCTGAAATGGTCCGTATTCGAGAAATTTGACAAAATGTGCAAAATTCTGATTTTTATGAAAATTGTTGAACTAAAAGTTGTTTGCGATATCGATCTCTATAATTTATAAATTGGAAGAGTGTTAAATTTAAATTTTTCAGTATTTTCGTTTTCAATGAATTTCTATAGAAAAATGTTTCAAGGTAGATGTAAAAATGTATATATTTAGTTTATCCTCTAAAATTTTATAGAGGTGCTGCAATAGGTTGTACAAAATAACCGGAAAAAGCCTATAATAACTAGATAGGAAAGTCATGTGTTGGACACATCAGATTTTTTATTTTATAATTAAAGATTCCAAAAGTAGATCTTCATTTCAGCAAGCGGATAACACTGAATCACCTGTCGTCGGTTCAGAAGAAATGGAAAACAAAATTAAAACAGAATTGGAAGCTTTAAAACAGTACTGTTGGCAATTAAAAGAAACGGAAGCGGAAAACGAAAAACTGAGGAGAGATAAAGATATTTTAAAAAGAAAATGTTTGTCACATCCTACATTTCCCAAGATAGAAGAAAAAGAAAAAGATCAAAAATTAAACGAAGTATGTAGTTTTCTATTTGGTTAAATTTTGCTTAATAAGTTTCGGACGAAAATATGACTTTTCAGCAATATTGCATAATACTAAATGAAAAACGCTATAATCTTGAATGAATAAACTATAAATCAATTCATAAAAAATTTATTGGTTGGTTAAGAATACTCAAAAATCGGGTAAAATCCTTGCCATTGGCAACGCTGCTCAAGCGTGTCCTATAAACGGTGACGGTGGTGACTTCACGACGGCGGGGGTTTGAAACTTAATACTCATTAAGCTTGACGGTAAGAGTTGATACACCGTGTTTTGAACTATCTTGATTGTTTCTGACTCACGAATTCAAGAATAGCTACCTTGGAATGGTCCAGCCTCCCCTACAGGATTTTAATATGGCAACTTCATTGGCTAATTGTACACCCATTTGGATATACTACTTCTTCCGATTAATTCATTCCACTTTCTAGATGGGCTTCCGAGAACTTATAGTTTTGGGTCAGCCATACAAGAAGTGCTTGACTTCGGTGATCGATAAATGCTTACCGTCAACCAGCGGCTCGATAATATACTTCTTTTACATCAGTACTTTGACATCCTATTATAGAGGTCTATATTCTATTCTATATTACTTTTTTGTGTTAACTTCTATCCGTATTTATAATTACCCTATATACATTATAGCTATTATCCAGTATAAATATTTTATATTTCGATTTTGTATAGCCCATGACGCTAATGAACGTCCACACTTCTAAATGTTCGTATACAGACGGGCCAGAGCATATAGTTGGCATCAAAGCTTGGGCAGCGAAAGTATTAATTTAATAATTTTGTATCTGTATTTATACGCTAACTGCCGCACTAGGGTATAAAAATTAATTAAATGAATGAAAATAATTTAGGTCTAGGTCATCTAGATCATCTAGGTCATCTAATATTTAGTTTACAGATATAATTTAGGTAAGTTTAATTATATGTTATAAAAACTGTAGTTTTTTAAAAATATTAAAGATTAAATTATTAAATAATTGAATTAGTGTGTAAAATTAAAATCTAGGGTCCACCACTCTACTTATTTATTTTTAGGTTATATTAGGTACAACAAAAAACATAAAAACCTACGCAGGCTGAAATGATCCCCTTGAATTATATTTTATTCAAATGGCCACAAAAACAAATAATAGCTGTAAGGCCACGTGAATTATATTTTTTTTACAGTTATGACAAATCCACAACTGATCCCCCTTGTATGCTATGCTTCTAGGCCCTACGAGAAGGGGGTAAGGGACAGGGAGAAACAAAATTCCCGTGGCCCAGGAGGAGCTCGGCAGCGTTAAAAAAATAGGTTATAAAATGTGGGGAATAGGCATTTGCCAGTATTTTGCACCGGGGTCCCACCATAGCTCTTAACGGCCCTGCATGCTTAAAAATGTAGTTAACGTTGGTCTAGTACTGCCTTTCATTGCTTACGCGTCTGTTGTTTATCATAATAGTACATTAATAAAAGTCCATACAACTTTGAAAAATCATTTCGATATATTCGAATGCTTTATTTCTATTTTTATTTTTTGTTTTATTATTAGATATTTTATATATTTACGTTGTGTTTTTAATTTATAATTGGGATACCCTTAACAAATATATCAAAATCGCGGAAATGACTAGACCGCCCCTGTAACATTTACTTGAGTATCTATTCAGCAAGCTTGGCAAAGTCAATAAAGTGAAAACAACTAGCGCGGTTGTTATCCAATACAGATGCACGAATTTGAAATCAATAATAATGATTGGACACAGAAAAACTATTGGTAATATGCTTGCGCAAAATGAATGCGCGAGCCGCACATACTTCGATTTTCTCTTACTATACGGAGAATGGTCGCACTGCGCAGCTTTCTGAGTGCCTTTTAAATAGAGATAGAAAACTCCATTAGTTTGAACACTTATTACGTGTTGCCTACATCTTGGCGGAAGAGTTTTAGTGGTTATGTTATAATATTTACCCAAAGTCAGTCCCCAAAGATATTATTTACGAACTTACACTTTACAAAACCATTAACAAATAATGAATATCTTGAAAACCTTGCTTTACTTGGTGATTTTATGTTAAATCTTTCCATTTGTAAGTAACAGTAACTACTTTAATTATGTTCCTATTATTGTATTCTAAATGCTTTTTAGTTTTCAAGTCTCCTAGGAATTTCGAGCACTTAACTTGCACAGTGTTTACAAACCATTAATCAAATTGTTTAGAAACTATTTTTAGCTAAACTCTGTTATGTCTGTTCTCAGCATTTTGAGGAAAATGCTTTTTGCTCTTATATAAAAAGTATGTGATCAGTCATGAAACAATTCTTTGTAGAAGGCAAATACCAAGAAAATTTTATTTATTTATGGTTGACCGTTGAAATAAATAACAGTTGACATATTGGATTAAAATTTGTGGCAACATAAAAACAAATTTAAAAAATATAATATAGACGAGATGGCCCGAGAAAAAGAAATTAAAATTCTCAGATTGCCTCTTTACCACGCAGAGTTAAATCCTATTGAACTTATCTGATCACAATTAATAGGTTATGTTTCTCGAAACAATATAACATTTAAATTACCTGATGGTCGAATTTTTTTTTATGGTAGTTTCAGATGTAAATGGAGAACATTGGACCAAATGCATTGATCATGTTAAAAAGGTGGAAAATTCATTTCGGAAAGTAGATATAGCAATAAAAAATCTAATAGACCTTATATTAATAAATCTCAGCAAAGAGAATGATAATGATACCATTAGTTATAGTGAAGAAAGTGACTTTTAAAGATTGTTCTTGAATTTTTAATTTTTTTTTAATCTTTGATTTTTGGTACTTAAGTGTTAACTTTTAAAGCCAAGAGATTAAAAAAGTTTAATACCATATAATCCTCCTTTATTGGTTCAATTTAATTCGTTCTGTGTTAAAGTGCAACAATTTTGTCAGAAGCATAAGGTTTATTTTTATTTTTTCTAAATAATATAATTTTTTTCATTCAAAATTTAACCTACGAAATGCTTGCATACCATTTTATATGCCGTGACCTTATTTATATTACAGAAACTTATTTTGCAAAGTACGCCTATAGAATGTGACGTTATATCCCCACTTTTACTGCACTCCTCTTTTATTCAGACTAAATATTCTGTTGATATTGTTTTAAAAGTGAAACAGCATAAAATAAAATTAATTCAAACTGTAAATTTATAAGGAGGGTGTCTTGTGTTTTAAAATTAAGGAACAATAGATATATTTATTATTTTTTATGATATTGCAATTATTTTAATTTCCGTAAGTGTTTTTTAATTATGCTTTCTGTTCACTGATCAACAATTGTACAATCTTGAATAAAAAGTGAATAAATCTTCCTAGAAACTTATTTATATCTAAAACTTTTAGATCTTTAAGTCTGCAAAAACACCGAAAGTAAACGCAAAAAGTGGGAAAAATACAGAATCAGCAGACCAAAACTAACACCTCTTTTCAATGTAAATTAATAATTGTTCTAACAAAGCTAATTAATATTATTATTACTAGTACATGAACACCACTTTTTTATTAATTTTTATATTTGATTAACTTAGATAACCAAAGAGCGTGATTTGTTGATGAAGAAAGTCAAATCACTTGAAGATCGACTACAAAATAACAGCATTCTACCCAAGGATCTTATAGTTTACAAAGATTGTTCGACGATGCTTGATAATACTTTAGCGGAGAGAGACGAAATGCTCAAAAATCAGGAAAACATTGAAGAGATTAAAAAAGAATTAGAGATGTTAAGGTCAAAATCTGAGAGGGTGGATGAATTAGAAAATGAATTAAAATCCGTTAAAAATAAAAGTAATGATTTCGAAGTTCGACGAGCCAAATCAGACTGTGTATGTCTGGAAAAAGAGGTGGCTAATTTAAAAGCTGAAAGGGATGTTTTAAGAAAGAGAATAGGTAAATAGGTAATTATTACTGCCTAAAAAATAGAATTGATAAGTTTTTTGATTTAAATGTAAGGTAAAAAGTGTAAATTAAAATTAGTTGAGGGAAAATGAGAAGTTAGAATTATTAAGGAGGGCTTCTCACTGCTCTAAAAGCATAAACGAATTCACAAAAATTAAAGAAGAAACTTTTAGAAAACTTTGGTATTTACATGCTTGGGGATTTTGATAATAAAAGTTTAGTAAAATCAGTGTCACTAAATGTTTTTTGTTTTTGTCTTTTGATTAATATTATCTTGTCTAAATTAATTAAAATACCAACAATTTATTTATAATTAAAACCATACGTTCTCCAAACGCACTTATAAATATCCGCTTATATAAATTTATATAAACGAGACTAAATAGATACTTTACGGTCTCAGTGGAAGCCTAAGTTATCATCACACTCATTTTCAACCCAAAACTAATATAATTAAAATTATTAATTTGGAACACATAATTAAAAAATTATTACTATATTTACAGATGTATTGACGGGTGAACAGGATTTCCTGAGATCCAAAGCAAAAGAAACTGAAATTATGAAAGTAGAACGAGACAAGTTGCAAATAGCTGTTACCGAAATGGCTCATATTCAAATACACAATGAAAATTTAAGACTAAAGTGCAAATCTCTAGAAAATGCATCCAATGAAGCTTATTTATACAAACATAAATACGAAGAATTATTAGGTATATTTATAAAACGTCTTTGTTGATTAGATTAATATAGACATAGAAATCTTGGGAAAGCAAAACAAGATAAAAATTAGAAATATTGGTATATGCTTTACTTAGGACCGATTCCACCGTTGTGTTAAACGAAGTTTAAATTACTAAACGAAGATTAAAATTACATGTTTATATTAACAATGTCATTTTAAACTTCGCTTAGTAATTTAAACTTCGTTTAACAGAACGGTGGAATCGGACCTTACCCCCTTTCCATAAACATAAAACACTGGTAATTTCAGTAACAATATTTAAACATTGATGGGAGCAGTGTACCCACGTTGTTTCTAAATTCTAATTAGGTATGTCAAACAAAATAAATGCCTGTAGGTAATGGCAGGCCACTGGCAGGCACATGATAGGTTATGATATGGCAACACTGTGGGCCTGGTGATTTGACAGGGTCAATAATATTGATACTTATTAGGCATTCCAAACAAAATGGCTACCAGTTTGTTTTGACAGGTTATGATATGGCAAAATTATGACAACCTTGTAGGCCTGGTGATTTGACAAGGTCAATGAAATAGATAGTTACATAGATTAATCATCCATATTTTTCAAAATAAACATAAGCTCATGCCTTGAAGTAAAAATGTAGGTAATTATTTTTTTTTACTATATTCAAATGCTAAATATTGGTTTGTAACCACATTTTTGCAAAATCGATTCTGATTAATGATCACTTGCGAGGCAATATGGCTGCTCGTAAACGATTCGCTTTGAGCAATCTATATAACTATGTATGTATCATTGACCTTGTCAATGACAACAGGCTCATAGGGTTGCCATATCTAAATGTCAGTTCCCACTTGTCAGCAGTTTGATAGGTCGTTGGAATGCCTAATAGTGTTATCAGTGTTCAGGTACCCTATTCTCGAACTCATGAGAATGCTCCTACACTCTCCTTCTCTACTGCTTCATCACCAGTGTTTCCAGACGACTAAAATCAAATTGTTGTACAATGCTGTAGAAATTCTTTTTTTATATATTTTTATCGTTCAAAACTGACCTTACTAGTGTGACGTTATCGGAGGCTGGTTAATTTAAGAGTTTATGGGGTTAGGATAATTTGATTTTTTTTTTGAGTACACATATAAAAAACAAAAGAAAAAATAAAACAAAATAAAACTTACCTATTCTTGTTCCGCTAAAGGTTCAAAAATAATTTCTTTTTGTAATCCTTTCTAATTTTAATCTTTTGTTTTTCTCTATACATTTTTGTCTTAAATGTCATATATAGGTTTAAAACTTACACATTCATTATCCAAAAAAAAGGACCCCGCATTTATTTCCTTATGTAAAGTGGCGACCGGTCAAACTGTGGTTTGTTATTGTACTTAATAGGTCTTTGCCTTTGCATCGAAAGTGTAGCACTGAGCTACGCCACTTCTAAAAATATCGATCCGTCCATACAATTTGTATAAATGGAACGATATTTTCAGAGGTGGTGTAGCTCAGTGCTACACTTTTGAAGCAAAGAAAAAGATCTAAAGTAACCAAAAGTATCAATAGCATAGACCATAACTTCAATAGACTCAGCTTATCGAGGTAGGATATTGAAGGAGATTCTATGTTCATTTAAACATGTATTTTAATAATGATATCGGTGAGCGGGGTTAAATGGACGTAAGTAAAGCATCAATATGGCGGCCGTACCAGGGAGTTAACTTTGTGTCATGTGGAAAACGACTGTCGCTTAGGTGCTACCCGAATCATACTCTGTGTGCCTTTTTGTCGCATTAGGTTGTTGTTATTCGCTATTGGAGCAGTGTGCACCAGTGTCAATTACACTACCTTATTCCATATACACATGTCGAGTGTAATTGACACCTGCTAAATAGCTGGTGGAGAAAATATCCACCAGTGGACACCACATCGCCGACAGAAAGGTGTAGTGGATTTTACAAGGGGCCGAACGAAAGGTTTAGTTTCCGTTGGTGTAGTTTATTCCTACACCAGTGGGAAGAACGAAAGAACCTATTGTTTAAATATTTCATGTCAAAGCGATTTCTTCCAAGAGACACCTTCCAACGTGTGGGATTAGTCATTTGAAAGAGAGAAATAAAACATAAAAAAATATTATTTTAATCTCTCATTTCATTTATTTCTGTCGAGTGGATATAGAAAAGAAAGTCAGTCAGTCAACTAATAAAGTCATATAGATTGTATTTGGTTATTAAATTTTTGTTAAACATTTGGGTTTTAAGTTACAAAAAATGAAAGTCCGCAGTGAACATTGAAGCTTGATTTGAGACAATAACGAAATACATCCTGAAATTATTACAAATAAATTTAATGGACGTTTAATTTATTTAAGGGGAAACTATATTTTCAAAAAAAAAAAAAAAACAATGAATAACAACACACGTCAAAACTAATCAAAACACACGGCCATATTATGATGCAAACATTTTTTATATCATGCGGCCATATAAACTAAACAATTAGTGTCGATATCGCATGCACGCACACAGTAACAGGCCCGAGTTGAGTAAGTTCCCATCCTGATTAATCTGAATCAGAACCTGCTAAACCCTTCCATCCACCCTCATGCTTTTCCATCCGCTGTATGGTCTACATGTCAATAGCAATTGATTGGCACCCCATACCTTCGGGTGAGCGGTAGAAATACATATAATACACCTATAATGTTATGGGTGATCTCGTAGTTCTCTAAAAATATGTGCGGCTCTACTGTTCATGATATCCAAAACCGTGGTGGTTTCTAGATCTCTGAACAGGTAGCGGTTGCGAACGTACCAAGGTGCGTTCGCAGCCGCGCTTTGTGAATTCATACTGTATGTCAGCACGCTAAGGTGTTAAAATGCAGGAGGAATTTCATGCATATTTTTTCCAAAATTCTTTAAAAATACTACCTCGTGCTAGCGCAGAAATCACGTAGGGATTTATAAACCAATACGCGCGTGTGAACCCTATAATTACTACGCGTGTTGTCAGCTGGTATGATTTTAAGTATTCTTCTGCTCTTTCTATAGGTGGAATTCATACAGCATGGCAACACGAGAGCCGATTCGCACGAAACTTTAAAATTTTTACCACCAGGGGCTCGATTCTCGAGTTCATTTGGAAAATTTTCCCATGGGAAAAGATTCCACTACTTATATTCCCATGGTAATAGGTTGTGCAATTCTCGAACTTGTCGGAATATACATTCCCATGGAAATAGTAGTTTCACGTATGTCTGATATTAAGTCCACGAATATTTCGAAACAACCAATAACATTAAGATATTTTAAAATTTACTGTTGGTATTATTTGTATTTGTTGTGGTTTTTGGGTAACCGATTACCTGCCGAGCCTCCGCGCTGGAGCAGGTGCCGTGCCGAGCAATCGCTATCATTTGGATATTATTTGCAAATTAAAAGACAGTTATGAAAACGATTATAACAAGTTTAGTGATTAGTGGTTAATGAAATGTTCGCTGCTCACTCGAACAAATTGGATTGTAAGGCATACAGTTCATCAAATTTCTATAGGCTTTCGACGGCTAGACAGAGAAAGCACTACTGACAGGCATCCCGACGGATATACGCAATAAAAGTACACTCTGCGCATCAAGTATTTCACTATTTCATTCAGACGTAAATGTCAGATGTAAATTTCGCTAAAACATTTCTTTTATTTTCGTTTGTGTTTCTTGCTCATTACAGTTTAATGGAACCTAAGTATGGAGTTTAATAGCAAATTAAGAGGCCGCGTGATTAACAGTCAATCTCGCGAAATAATAGCCAATGTTATAGAGTTTATGAGAACAGAAGGAAACTTTAATTCACCTTCAATACCATTTAAAAATGTAATTGATCGTGTTGCTGCAGCCACAGGAGTATCTAAAAACACTGTCGTCCGCATTTCTGGAGAGAAAAAAAGAATCGATAACCGTGAGATATCGGAATTTTCATCACCAAGAAAAACCATTAAAAAACCAAAAACAGTTAATGATATAGATAAAGTTGCACAAGAATCAAATTTTATTTTCTTATTATTAGATAGCTATTTTTGTTTCTGAGTTGTGTTCATTTACAGGCTCAATTTTTTTCCGTTTCTCCTTTTTGATTTTATATGGGGTTTCAAGTTGTTTTTGACTTATTTCGACGTAAATCACAACAACACACTTTTTTAATAAAGCAAACAAGTGTTAAGAGGTATATGTACGTGTAAACTACAATTACAAAAAATTGATATGAAACCCATGAAACCACCAACAAAAATGTAAAGCTAGCTTCCGTACTAGAACATGGTGTCATTCGTCGAGATAATTTATCGTTTTGTTTAATAGATCAAGAAATGTAAATATTCCCCTGTTATTTTTTATAAAATTATAAGAGAAATAAATTTTTTTCTAAATAGTATAGTTTATTATTTTGTAGAAAAACAAAATTTCGAAAATTTTAGTAATGTTTCAGAAACAACCGTTATTAATAATAGGTACCATTTTCCTTAATAAGGTAGAAATAAAATATAAACTATTTTCACGATTTACAAAGGCCTACAAAAAAATTATAGGTATTTTCCGCTATCCTATAAAATTTATATTTTCTGACTCAATTTCAAAAGGTTGAAGGAATTCCAAAACACCTTTTATGGCATAATAATTATTTTCAATTCTACATACTATCTTTAGCTGCTTTTAAAAACGTTCTAAGAAAGTCCAATCAGACCAATTTAATCCCTAAACTATTCCACACTTTTAAAATTTAATTACCTAAAAATATTAAAAACTATTTAAAATAACTTGTTTAGCAGACTGTACAATAGCTATCTTAGTCACACGTAGCGCGTTCTCTGTCTGGGCGTCGAACACCTCTAGAAATTTGATAAACTGTACTTACCCTAAAATAAAACGATTAGCCTTTCGAAAAACATTTGTATGTCAGCATTTATCGCACAACAAAACTGCCAAAGAAATTAAAGATAGGAGTCGCAATAAGTTATGTACC